AAAAAAAAAGAAGGTAAAATAGTGAGTATAAAGAATTCTAAAGTAAAAGGGTGTGTTTTACAAACAAGAATCCTAAGACTTGAGTATTATGTAACTGATGTGATTAAAGCTTTTATACAAAGTTTTAGGTGGTTGCAGTATGCTTTAAACTTAGTCCTATCTTATTACTAGGCAATATTCATTAAGCCAGAGTGCCCCTGTTATCATAATGTGTTATTAGAAAAAAGACATCCAACATAATGAGCCAATATAACAAAATTCCATGAAAAGTCAGAAATGTCAAATATCAATGTCTCAAGGCTCTGTAGTATCCATCAATCTGTAAAATGTAATGACAGTAGTAATATACATTTACTAATTTAGATAATAACATATGGACCTGGTGCCATATAAAAATAATGTCGCTTAATTCTCATCAAATCCTTCAAGGTGGGTAAATTCTATCCCCATCATACAGATGAAGAAATGGAGGCTCAGAAAGACTGAGTGGCTTATCTAAGGCCCACAGTATTGATAAGGAAGAGAGTTCTCCTAGAAGCTCATACCCAGGAACTCTTCAGAATATTTTTCTATGTGACATATTGTCTCTCTTTGGAGATACTACTACTTACCTATCTGCCTGGGGTAGGTAGGGGGCACCTGGAGAATGTGGGGCCCAGGAATCTGCCATTTAAAATGACACCCTGATGATTCTGATGTGGGTAGTTGATGCATCACACTTTGGGTAACACTATGTTGTGTGTTTTGAGAATAATAAACCGTGGCAGTCCTATCTATATAAATGTAATGGTGATTATTATTGACTGTAAAGTGTTTTTTTCTTGGAAGGGGCAAGTCAATTTTAATCTAAAAACCTGAATGAGGCGGGGAGCAGCGTCCATGCGGCGCAGCCCTAGTCGCTGTTTTACTCCAGGTGGCATCACCGTCACCGCTGGGCGGGGCGGCGTGCAGTACCAGCCCAAGCCGTGCCAGGCTGGGGTCTCTGGGCTCCAGGCAGAAGCACAGCCTCCCCGACTTGCCATAAGACGATGGCACCCCCCAGAGCCTCACACGAACTCCCAGATCATCAACTGCACCACAGCAAGCACCACGCGGCCTGTGCGCACAACCTGAATGCACCGAGGAAAAGGACAGAGAGGCGCTGGAGGAGGGTGACGTTACAACTCAGAGCTAGGAACCTTAGCTCTTGAGCCTGCGCTAAGGTTCAAAGGTGGAAGCCATAGCAATCATAGCATTTTCTGGACAAACATGAGCCCTGATGGCGGTGGAGAACCCAAAGGGGAATTGCTGGAAGTTATCAAATGTGACTTTGTTTCCTTCGCCCAAGTCGAAGTTGACGGCTGTACCTGCTTGCGTTCAAGGCTCAGGTTGGGGTTGGCTTGGCGTCAGGAAGGAGCAGGGAGGCTAACAGATGGCTGCTTGTCTTAACCAGCATCCCCTTTAAGAACAGCACGGCTAATTCCACGGCTGGGGATTGATGTGTGGGAACATGCTTACTACCTTCAGTATGAGAATGTCAGACCCGACTATCTAAAAGCTATTTGGAATATAATCAACTGGGAGAATGTAACTGAAAGACACGTGGCTTGCAAAAAAGTAAAACATGAGCATTACACGGAGTACCTAAAGCTCCTTACGACTATATTTTTTGTAGTGCGGAGTGCCGCAATATACTCGTAATAGACCGCAATGTATTCATAATACACTGCAATACCTCAATGGTAGAGTTCTGAATGTGTCTTATTCAGATATTTGATAATTTAGTGCTATGAAAATTTCTTGTTTTAAAATTTTGTTATTGAGCAAATGTTCAAAAATATTAAATGCTTTGTATGAGTTAGTCTTTTGATGGAACGTTTTCTTCAGAGAGCTACAGCACCTCAGAGGTTATGAATGTCATCACAAAGCCATAAAAAATATTGCATTCCTATGGTGTTGGGGCCTCTCGGGAAGGCTTTCTAATCCTGTTCTATTGCATTTATAGAAAATCTAGTCTTTTGCCCCAATTGTTTAACAATGAAATATTAAACTTATCCCCCAAGGGGTATTCAGTTTTCTATTGAAAATTTCTCTTTTTTGTAAGTAATCCTCTGTTTAAGATTACTTCTAGTAGGTATCACCCAGAGGTCTTTAATTATTTACTGTCACATGTTGCACAAAGTTAACAACATCTGTCATTTTAAAAATATAACTTGATTGCTAATTGAGAATTGTTTTATTATGAGAAGGAAATTGTGCATCTGAATTTTTTTGTCGGAAGAAATGTAAAGACTCTTATGTGGAATTTTGTCCTCAAACATAGAAATGTGTGTAAGTAAGTACTCAGAATGGATAAATGTGATCCTAGTTGATCAAATCACTGATAGAGGATGAGGCCACCCACCTCTGGCCAGACACCTGCCACCTTCTTTCGGGCCTGTTCTGAGCAGCCGTATCAGGATCACCCGGCCTGAGAGGCGCTGCCTCCCCAGTAAAGAGAGGCACAGCGGGGTTCCGGACAGGGTCAGCTGTGCGCCTCCCGCAGGGACAATCGTTTTTTTTAAAGACTTGTTTTTGTTATTCTACCCATTTGACGCTTTTATTTTAGAAAATGTACAGTCAACTATAGGAGCTTTATATTGTTGAGTTTTTTTCAATAAAGGGGAAACAATACCCGTAGTACAGCCACACAGCATGTTAGAATATGTTCCTGTTTTGTTGGAAATGGAGCTGTTTCCATTTAGCGCAGAACGTTTGTGCATTTGGCTCAGCGTTGTGCGGTCCATGTTTCAGCATCTTCCTCATCATCTTTCATGGCTGTGCAATATTTTATCAATTGGATATTTCCTAATTTAATTTACAGTTCTGTTACTGAATATTACATTTGTTTCTAATTGTTTATTACAAATAATGCTGTGTTGAGCAACCCACGTAGGTCTTACCTTCTATTGGAATATTTTCTCTGTATATGTTTTTTTCTTAAATCTATTTAGTAACAGGATGTTTTCCCAAGTTCTTTATTTTTAATTTTTCATATTTTCCTGGAAAAATAGAGTAATTTAGCAGTTTCAATAGTGAAAACTGAAGTTTAAAAAATTTGTAAATTTATGGCACTTTTCTTTTAGAATTCAATTAGAAGAGCATTTAGGATTTCAGAATTGCAAGAGTGTTGATAAGCCTGATGATAGGTGTGTGTGTGTGTGTGTGTGTGTGTGTGTGTGTGTGTGTGTGTGTGTGTGTGTTTATGCTTGTGGACTGAAAATACTTCAGAGACTATGATTGTCTATATGCCACATTAAAATAACTTTCATGGAGGGCAGATGGGAGTCATGTGATTATTGCTTACATAAATAATATATATGCCTATATATTTATACATAAGGCAGTGAATTCTTTAAATAGACCACCTAGCAAAGTAAGGCCTTTTTGCAAAATGGGCTTCTGAATACAAGTAGTCTGCTAGACCATGGTTTGTAAGGAACTGACAAAGACATGCAGAGACTACTGAGTTATTCTGACTTATTAAGCTTTAAGATTTAAAAAAAACATTCAATGTAGAAATTTCTATGGGGCTCCATTTTTGCTTTGGGTTTATGTTGAGGGAATGAGGGAAAGCACACTGTCTTCCCTAAGGTTTTGCTTTTCCCTCCCTGTTGGATAGATATTTTAAGAGATTAAGATAATTTAGAGGAAAGATTTCAATCATCCAATGAAAAATGAGACTCAGACTCCAGTTAGCCCTGTTTTTCATAATAGAGAAGAAACAGAAAAGGTGAAATAGCCCTCTTCTGAGAAGGACAAGTATTGTCTATCTAGGAAGGACATTTGTGACCGAATCAGCAGGGCCTGCTCTCGTCTAGATGTGCTTCACATCCCTAAGCACGATTCGTGCTGCAGGAGAACAGGACACAAAACAAGCACGGTCTGTGAGATAGTATCTGTTACCACTTTATTGCACACCTCAAATTCAGGATCTCAAAATAAGATTTTAATTTCTGTTGAGTACTTTTTAAAAAGTAACATCAAAATCATAAAATGAAGATTCATGTGTGTTGTGAATCACATCTAAAACTAGGTATAAATACAAATTTTACTTCCTGTTTTAATTTCAGGGGTACTACTGTTTGAGAAAGCTATTAGGTAACTATTATAAATCACTGTCTCTCATTTTCAGTGAAACCCTAATAATCCAGCAAGGCAATGTCCTGTCTTCTAAGATATGCATAGTACATATTAAAAATCCTATAAGGCAGTGGGTCTCAACCTTCCTAATGCTGCGACCCTTTAATACAGTTACTCATGTTGTGGTGACCCCCAACCATAAAATTATTTTCATTGCTACTCTATAACTGTAATTTTGCCACTGTTATGAATCGTAATGTAAATATCTGATATGCAGGATGTATTTTCATTGTTACAAATTGAACATAATTAAAGCATAGTGATTAATCACAAAAACAATATGTAATTATATATTGTGAAATATTTATTTCTAATTACAAATAAATGAAATTTTGTCTTGAAGCATGGAGACGGCTAAAGGAGCGCTGTCTCGGTTCCTAAGACCATCGAAAATATGTGTTTTCCGATGGTCTTAGGCGACCCCTGTGAAAAGGTCATTCGACCCCCAAAGGGGTCGTGACCCACAGGTTGAGAACCGCTGCTATAAGGTCTTGGATAGTTTTCACTTAGTTATTCATTGAAGTAACATCTATTTTCCTATTGTAAATGTGAAGTTTTTTTTGGAGGTGTCAAGTTTTTTTATTGTTAATAAAAGAATCTGTCAACTAAAAACAAAAACAAAAAAACCCTGAATGAATATTTGTGTGTGTGTGTGTGTGTGTGCGCGCGCGTGCGCGTGTGTGCATGTTTACTGAATTCACGGGTGTGCGTGGATTTAGGTTGCTTCCTCGGTCCCATCAGGCTTAATCAGATCTTTGGGCAGTTTCCTCACCTACACACCTGGATGCCTTTTCTAAGGACCGCATCAGTCACAGGCTCCTTCCCTTCTCATTTCCTAGGCATCAGCAGTAAGCATCTTGGTGTTTGTGGCTGGATCCTGTTCTCCCTGTCTGTCCTGTTGATGATTATCACCTTTCCTGTCTCTATATGGATGTGCTTGAAGGTAATACCCTGGGAAATAAGTGGGGCTCTCTATATGAGCCGATGAACTATTAAGGCTAAATGCTCTCCCTTAATCTCTTAGATCGTTAAGGAGTATGAACGTGCCGTTGTATTCCGACTGGGACGCATCCAAGCTGACAAAGCCAAAGGGCCAGGTATGACACTGCTGCGGTCCCTGACAAGGATCATGGGCACCTAATACTGTCACCACTGCCGCCAATGTTTTCCCTGACAGCAACTATTGAGAGGCAAAGAAAACCACAGGAAGCGGGAGCTCTTGCCTTTTGTTGTCCTATTATGTAAGTTAATGGGAGTGACCACTAGCTTGAGAGTGTGGAAATATGGACTTGTTTCCCCTCAGGAGGAAACACTCCCTCTGAGAGTTTCAGTTAATGTGACCGAAGAGTAACCCTGGCGACATTGGCTAGTTGTCAGTTTACCAGGGCCACGAAAGAGAATGAGAGAAGGATGAGAGGAGGGAGTACATGGCAGAGGTAGATGACGAAGTTACTCAGGGAGAATATTCAAGGAGCTGGCTTTTGACTCTCACTGTTTGAAAAGAGCTAATGGAAAAGTAAAAAGTAATTTCCTCTCTTGGCAAGAAGATTAATAGAAACAGAGAGCTGGAAGTCATTGTACAACTGCTTTTGTCAAATGTAGTATTTATTTCCATCGTTTCTCTACAACCTTAAAATGAAAAATGTTCCAAACTGTTCATGTTATAAAAAGATGGGATTTTGAGGGGGTGGTGAGAGGGGGTAGGGTATCAGGTACTAAAACTCCCTAGAAATAAATTATTGATTTAATACTAATAACTTCTCTTGGTGTATATTTAGCTAAACCATACGAAATTGCTAATATTTATTTTTTGACTTACAAAAATGGTAATTTCATATGGTAAATTCTAATACTCTTGAGAGGAGAGGCTATCATAAGTAGCATCTTAAAAGACACACGGTAAACAGTGCTTACTAGTTCTACTTCTCTAATAATATTTGTTTTTTGCCCCATATTGTAATGTATTTGGGTAAAACCATTCTCTTTCCTACTGGACTGTATGATCTCTGGAGCAGGAACTTTCTTATTTGGCCATGCACCATGGTAGGTGCTCAGATATCTTACATAAAAAAATTATGAAAAACTTCAAAAGGAGAAGTTGTTAAGGAGAGTTGGCCATTGCAAGTAGTATAATCCTACTTGTCTAATTTCATAAAAGACCTAAAAGGAAGAGGGCAAGAATTACTTATTATGGATGTTCTTATGAGTTTGTCAAAACAGAAGTGTTAGAATCATCCAGCTGAGGTATAACAGATATGGTTAACCCCTTCCTAGTCATGTTGCATCCGTTGGGGCTCAGATTATGTTAGAATAAAATTGGATTTGAGAGAGGTAGAAGAGCCACAATCAAGGGGACTCTAGAGAAAAGTGTATCACTTTCAAATGAATTTTCCCAGAAGATTTCATCATTAAATGTCCCAGGATAATCACTCTTGTCATACATGTCTCTAGGGCTGATGAGTTACATCAGAATGACATGAGCCAGAAGGAAACTGGCCAAATTGCTAATGGAAAAGCTCTCCACTTTTGTAAATTGTAAATCATTCTTTAATAGTACAAGTATTAATAATAAGAGCTGCCACTTCTTGAGCACTTAATACTTACCTGGCACTGTGTTTAATACTTTATTTCATATCATGTTGAATCATGCTTAATCTTCACTATCATCTTATAGATATTAGGTAACTGAAACTCAGAAAAGTTCCCAGGTAGTAAGTGGTAGAACTGGGACTTAACTCTCTTATTCTAAAGCCATTATCTTAACCAATGACTTGGCACCAAAAATGGACATCAATTAGGCAGTAATCTTTAACCATAGGTATCAGGAAGGATTAGAGACCAAAAGAAAGAAAACACTTTAGTGGCGTTTTCTGTTGATGCTACCAGCTTTCTACATGGTGCTCAACCTAAAAGCTTGTTTCTTCTTTGAGAATAAAAACAATAGTACAAAATCTTTCTGGTAAATGGAAATGGATTGGTTTTCCCCTCTTGCTAAAATGCCCCTGGTTCTAATCTTTATAATTCTTTCTGTAGAGAACATTCAGCAGGGTAATGTTAGGAGTCATAGTATCCTCAAATGAGTTTTGTGAACCCCATCGTTCCCCACCCAGCCCCAATCCAAATACTTCATTCACAATTTAGAGAGAAGTAAAGGTGTTTACAGCTGTGAAATGCCATTGTATTTGAACTAAACACAGCTATGGAGAAAACTGTAAATTCTACAATACCTTGGTTTTAGAGACTCTGAGATCCTAGGAAGGTTTTAATTCTAATGTTCCTTCAGTACAATTGAAGATGAATGAGAATGCTGGCAGTCACTGATTTTCAAGGTCAAAATTTTCTTATTTGAATCTTTTATACAGATAGTCTTTAGGATAGCGAAACCAATTTCTAAAATATCCTTTAAAATTAACGTCAAATTCAACTTGGATGGAAATAAATTGAGTGTTTTAAAAATCAAATCTAAAAATTAAATGCCAAGCATCTTTAGTTTCTTACCAAAAGATTTTAATTTCCAAGGAAATACTTTTCTTTAGTCATAGGCTGATAGGAGAAAATAATTTTTCCCAAAGTTATGGTTGTACCTATTGAGCATCATCTGGGAAACATATTTAGTTCCATGAAAATAATGTACTATACAGCTGGGAGACAATTTGTAGTTTTTTCAATAAGATGAAATTTAAAACCATATTTTCTTTTTCATAGGTTTAATACTGATCCTGCCCTGCATAGATGTGTTTGTCAAAGTTGATCTCCGAACTTTTACTTGCAACATTCCTCCACAAGAGGTAATACTGGTTAAAGATAAGTTGCTAGAAATAAAACTTATACCACCCCTTTTCCAATAACAATTGAAAATTTACAGTATGTTTTTAAACTATAAAGGGGAGGATGAACTAAATTCCCAGAAACGTGCTTGAGGAGCCTGAGTTGGCTCCTGAAACTGAGTTTTGTTTTGCCAGATGAGAATCAAGCCAAGTTCAAGAGCTGAATTGCTAGAAGACTTAGGTGAGAGAAAGGCGGAGACAAGAGAGAGAAGGGATCCAGTTGCAGAGGAACTGGGGTGGAAAAATGGCAGAGCAGATGCTTGAAAGAGGGATAAATCAGTATGAAAGAGCTGAATTTAATTTGGTAGAGGGGAGTGGTTGGTTATATTATCCCCTCTGTCACCTTCTCAGAATTTTTTTAGTAATATCTGTATTACTTACCTCTGCTTTAAAATGTTTTGTGCTTTTGAATGCAAAAAAGTGGAGTGAGAGTGGGAAAAGAGCAGATACTGCACAGGGCCCAACTTACTTCTTCTTTTTTTTTTAAAATATTTTTTTATTGGGGAATTGGGGGATGGGAACAGTGCTGGGGAATTGGGGGAAGGGGAACAGAGAAGTTGCTGTCGTGGAGGATGTTGCTTCACTGGCCCAAATTGGCACCATCATTGCGCTCTTCCCGGGTGAGGCAGATCAGTCGCCGGCTTCTGGATGGCCGCTCACTGCGGCTGCTGGCCGCTCACGCTGGCTGATGGCGGCTACACACGGTAGCCCATGGCAACCCACTGCAGCAGGGGCTGCAGCCTATGCCATCACCGGCGACTCATGGCAGCCCAGCTCCAGGTTGAGCTGTTGTTCAGCATCTTAGCTGTAGAGGGCAGTGTCACTGGCCCTCATGTGTGGGATCCGAACCGGGGCCCTCTGGCGTCCCAAGCCACCTCTTAACCAACGCGCCACTCAGCCGGCCCACAAATAATTCTTTTTAATTCTTAAAGTACTGCAAATAAATTACCAATAACAGTACCTGGGCAATAGGAAAGAGAAACAGAACTATTAATAATAATGTCACCCTTTGATAACTAAAATGACCCAGGAAGAGGAAAGAAAATGTGAGTAGGACCTATCATGTGGGAGGGCAAAGGTGATAAGAAGACAGAAAATCAACAATTATGAGTAAATATTAACTGTTTTCTGTCTGGTCCAGGAAATTCAATCAAGGCCCAGCAATGATGAATCCATGCCACTAGAGGGAGTCGCAGAGTCCTTGCTTTACAATTTAGCCTCACTTGTAAGAGAGTTTGGGATGCTTAGTGACTTATCATGAGCCTTTTCTGGCTCCATAATAGACAGCTCCAGATGGGAGAAGTGAGTTCTAGGTCTGCTCCCATGGTACACCCACACATCTCTCTCATTTGCTGCAAAACATCTCATCACATTATTCAGAACGATTAATGCAGAGCTTCTATATAAAGCTGAACTGATTTTTCTTTATTTGCACATAGAACACGGTCTCTGGTGCCATCTATGTTTTCTAAGAAGCACTACTGTTCATCAAGTATGTATTATAAACACTGAAAACTTAAAAGATGTCAGGTATCAGGGAAACAAGTGTTTACCTCTGTTTTGAGGGTAGAAGGGTTCTACTATGACATTTTAAAATGCCAATGCCTATTCTCCCCATGGAAAATCAAGGGCCTCTGCCCATGGGGTGTAAACTTGTCTAAGACGAACTTACAGGGTTAGGTACAGACCGCACATGTGCAAGAATTTTGTTATCAAGTACGATGGTATTACATTCAAGCCAGGAGAGATTTTGGATGCACTGCTGGCATGAGTTGTCATTAACATTCTCCTCCTGTGTAGAGAGCTCTTGGGCTTGCTGACACTTTGTCGATCATTGTGAAAGTTGCGAACATGTAGTAATTCCCCCTATTCTTCTCTCCAGATCCTCACCAGAGACTCTGTGACCACACAAGTGGATGGAGTTGTCTATTATAGAATCTACAGTGCTGTCTCTGCAGTGGCTAATGTCAACAATGTCCACCAAGCCACGTTTCTGCTGGCTCAGACCACTCTGAGAAACGTCTTAGGGACACGGACCTTGTCCCAAATCTTAGCTGGCCGAGAAGAGATCGCCCATAGCATCCAGGTAGAGACACCGAGAACTAATAACCTGCGTCTTTCGTTCATTCATTTTAATTTTCAGTCATTAAATATCATCAGTTCAAAGCACCCCCCCAATAGTGCACGCGCGCGCGCGCGCACACACACACACACACACACACACACACACACACACACACACACATACACACAACTGATCTAAACAGATGGGCTTCTGTTTGTAATTTCGTTTTTTTGTAAATCAAAAGGTATAGATTTAAATATCTAAGTGGCAGGAGGGAGCTGTTGAAATCAGTCACCATACCCGTGTTCTTTGGAGTTCAAAATCATGGATTAACATTGTACACTTTAACCTTTTCTGAAAAGGTCAGAGACCAGATTTATTCTTAGATTACTCCAGAAGAGGTGCCTGCATCTCTCAGGCACTCCATGTATTCCTACACTTCATTGGAGTGTGAGAGTTAGAAGAGGATTCAATTGAGATAGGACAGGCCTGTCATCCTGGGCAAATCTATATCATGCTACCAATATCAATAATAATGTTAATAATAATCATAATGATAATATTGATGAAGATGTAGCAGGTATCTGTCCCACCTCTTGCACCCTAGGGCCTCATGCTTTTGATAACTCAGATTTTTCCCTGGCCATGGTCAGGTCATTGGCTTCTTGTGAGGTTTCGCCGTGTCCTGGGTTCTGCAGGGATCACGGAAAGGCAAGGGTAACTTGCCATTGTGTAGCACAGAGATCTCTGCCCCTAACTTTTAAGAGAACTACATATTTGATCTCACTAGTTCTCAAAGCATTCGTTCTCATCCTTACCCCTCCAGGATAACCAGCAAGATACCTTCAATGGTTTTAAGCTTTTACAAAAGATAAGAATATCTCTGACTTGAGGCTTCTTCTGCTTTAAAAATCTTGCCTTGCTACCTGTTTAAAACTGACCGCAGGACAGAGGTTAAACAGAGCAAGACAATATCTCAAAAAGACCCAATAATAATATTTATTGAGTCATCTGTAGGCACTGACATGTCTTACATGTATTATCTCCAAACCTCATGACAACCCTGAAAGGAAACCGGTTTTATAGGTGGGAAAACTGAGAATCAGGGTAAGTAACTGGCCCAGTGATTCACAGCTGCAAATGACAGAGCCGAGACAAAACCCAGGTCTACCTGAGAAGTCCATCCATTATTATTGCCTGCTTGATGTCAGTGACAAGCAAATTTGGGATATTTGCTCAAATCTAGGTAGATAGAATACACTTCATTAGGGATGGTTTTGGGGTAGATCCTACTGGGACACCACCCACTCAAAGGTCCGTCAGGCTTTCTTCCTGAATCCTTTCTGGGATTCACTTCAATTCCAGGAAGTGAGCAGTAAGGATGCTAACTCCTATTCCCTTCCCAAACTGTCTCACTTCAAATACTGTAAATACAAAAGGAAAAAAAGTAGAGGACTTTATCCTGCAAATATAAGATATATCAGAAACATATATCCCATTGCCGGTCTTCTGATCAATGTTTTTTCTTTTTGATTTGGAAACAGACCTTACTTGATGACGCCACCGAGGTGTGGGGCATTCAGGTGGCCCGGGTAGAAATCAAAGATGTCCGGATTCCTGTGCAGTTGCAGAGGTCGATGGCAGCGGAGGCTGAGGCCACCCGGGAAGCCAGGGCCAGGGTAAGGGCTACTGTGCTTACACTGGAGGGCGAGCCACCTAGCCTTGCAGCAGACAAGGATGGAGCTGAGTGGCAGCTCAGGCTCTCTCAATTCCTTTGATAAGAAAAGGGTTTCTTTTTCTCAGGTTTGACTGAGAATTTCTCCCTGAATGTAATTAGGAGCTTAGTGTACTTTGAGGAAGCTTGTAACATGTCCGGTGTAAGGGGTCACTCAACCAGATGTTCCATGCTTAGCGAGGTGGCTCCCATGTCTAGTGGCACATTAGTCTCCTAGAGAGAACTGAACTAAGCAAACAGCAGTTCCCCGGCCTCACCTCAGACTCCGTGAGGCCGTCGTGGGTGGGCCCAGGAAACTGTATTTTTATAAAGCTGGTGGTGATTCTAACGTAGCCGACTCGGTGCCTTTATTTTGCGCATCATTGTTCTACTATATTAAGTGTACTGGATAAAGCAGGGAGCAGATTAAATACACTCCAGGTTAGAATTACAAAGTGTAAGTACACCCTGGCCTCCAATGTTCTTGCATCGGTGGGATCTATAGACTTCATGTCTGTGTGGATGGGTTTCCTGAAGTATCAAAAACCAGTTAAGATTAGGCTTCCTTGTATCCTCTTTGGAATCTTACTTGGGAGCCAGTGAAGGTTTCCTCTGTCCTCGTTCCTTACCTATCTCTGGTTTATCTGCTAAGCTCTAGCAGCTTCCAAACAGTGGACTTGGCCATGACAGACAGGAGGGTGGGCATTGAGTGCCCACGGATGGGGCAGCCAAGTTCCAAGTCTCTCTTTCCCTGTCTGAGAACTGGAAGAGAAGTGGTGTACTTAGTAGATTTCCAATGAGTGTTATCAGACTGGCACTTGCTGCTATTTGTAATCAAGATAAAGAGAATTTGAAACAATTCTTATGTTGTAAGAATGAGACTAAATTGGCAACAGAATGAAATAAAAACCTCTCCTATGATAAATAAAAGTGACAGAAAAAAGTCAAGGGGAGACCTTGAATTTCAGACTTCTCTGAAAACAAATGCAGCAGGTAAGGCTCCAAAAGTGATTCAAGAGCATTGCTAGGGTGGGTGACCCTGAATTCGTTTGGGTGAAAGACGGTGCTTTTATTTTGTTTGAAAGTGAAGTCTAGGGACTCATAATTTGTAAAATATCTCCCGCTTCCTGCACCCTCCTCAAATTTCTCTAATCACATTAGGATGTGAAACTTTTAATCACATTAGGATGTGAAACTTTTATCCTTGCCAAAGAAGTGAGTAGGTGAAACACATGTGGCCAAGTGGAGACTGGGAGAGAGTTATCAGTAGGCAGCTGGAAAAGGAAAGCACTCGTTGCAGTTGTAAGCTTTTATTCCTGAACTCTTTTATTTCTGTCATTTTAGGTCCTTGCAGCAGAAGGAGAACTGAATGCTTCTAAATCTCTGAAGTCAGCTTCCATGGTGCTGGCCGAGTCCCCCATAGCCCTCCAACTGCGTTACCTGCAAACCTTAACTACTGTAGCCACAGAGAAGAATTCCACCATCGTGTTTCCTCTGCCCATGAATATACTAGAGGGCATTGGTGGTGTCTGCAACAATAACCACAAGAAGAATCCTAACAGAGCCTGAGGCTCTCCTGCTATAGCCAGCCATTGCTTAGGACGTCCTGCCCATTTCTGTGGAGAACCTAGCAAGTAGAAGTGCTGAGGATTTCAACACTATTCAAGCAGAGTAGCTCCACAGCTGGAGTAGTATTAGCAGGGAAATGCTATGGAGGCTACAAAAACAAGCAAACAAACATCAAAAACAAAAATGAGAGCTGTGTACCACTTTCATTTTTAAGAACAAAAGCAGCTTCTTATTATCCTTGTAATAATCCATTAGTAGCTCTTTTGCTTTATAGCAGACACTTTCTTGCAGTAGGGGGAAGACATCTTTGAGTGACTATGACTAAGATTTCAGAATTACTTTTTAATGGTTTTAAGAGGCACTCTAGATAATTTGTAAAGTAACATAAGCTTTATATTTATACTGGATATTTGCTTTATAGTTCCAAAGTAATTATCTAAATTACTAAATCTCCAATAATTACAACAAAACCCCACAATGCTTAAAACTATGATTGATTTTGGTGCTAAAGACTAAAGAGGCACTAAGAAGGCTTTCAGTTGCAAAGTTATCACCAGCCCCCCAGGGCAGATTGCATTCAGCTTTCCAGCTGCATGTCCTCCAGAGTGCTTGGCCAGCTCTGAGCCTCCCAGCACTACAGTGAGAGGGTGGGACAAGGTACGGTGAGGTGCCACACCCCAGTCAGTTTATTTGCTTACGAGTGAGAATATTTGTAAAAGGTTTTGTTGGTATAATCACTGGGGAACATCAGTGGACTTCATGTTTTCACTCTATTGGTGATCCCAAGAGCCACAAGTAAGCAAGAATTGTGTGTAAACTCTATTCTCCTCCTCAAAAACAAAAATGAAACAAAAAACAAACCAAAAACCCTGTTAAAAATAAAGAAGCCATAGAATGTAGATGTGATGTATTTTAAAAATTGCTTTGCCAGAGATTATTTTGTTGCTATGGGTAGGACAAGGGGATATGAGTGGGGACCAAAGTGTCTGCTGTAGAACCTTAGCAAAACTTTTAAAAAGTGCACCTCCTCCAACATTGAAGGTGCTTCGCACCTTCTCCCAAGGATCTCTTTTTAGTAAAGGCACCTTGGATTATGGGATAAGAGATTATGATTTTTTGGATGTCTTCCTTAACTACATCCATTTGCTTTGTCAAAAGTAGCAAATCTTTTATAGTATAAAGGCCCCAGAAGAAAAGCACCATATAAACCAGGTTGCTATATTACCATAGGCAGAAAGAATAAGGCCCCCGGGAGAGAGGAGGAAGGGGAGGAGGAGGTGAGGGGAGACAAAGGAGGGAGGAGCTGAGATCATCCTTAAGGAAAAGTGCAGCTACCAGACTGGCCAGAACTAGATTTCAGTGGCTGAGAGCAGATCCAGGACACCATCTTGCCCCCACGGTGAACTTGAGCTAATTATAATGGGTTATATTATTATTAGCATTGCAGTTAGGGAAAATCTTTACCCCCTGTGCCGCCCTGACAGTTCCGACAAGAGCCAAATAAGGACAAAAATCCCTCTTCCTGACAGGAAGGAGTGGTTAGCAAGGACCAGCCTAAGAATGCCTATAATGCTTCCCAACCTGTAAGTCTTGAATATTTCGCACCCTCATTTTAGAAGTAATCAATTCCTAAGTCTCTTTGTTGTTCAGGGCAGCTGCTCTTTTCCAGGCCTGCTGGCCCTCACCTTCTTGAGAGTGTACTGTCCTTTAATAAATCCACTACTTGCTTGGCTTTTTGGGTGCATCCTTGAATTCTTCCCTGAAGCGTACACCAAGAACCCATTTTTCAGCAACAGTTACTCTGATCGCTGTTGGAGCGTGAGCACCCTGAACACAGCATAGTCCATGGTGGGTGCTGAGTAAGTAAGTATTCTTTTGCACACTTGTGACAGGGGGCCCTCTACCAAAGTTAAGTGGAAAATTTTGACATTTTCTTTAAAAGAGGGAAGTAGAACTCCTAAAAATGGGTAGATGCTATGAAATGGCACATTTGAAGCCTCATTCTATCAATAGATGTGCTTTTTGGAGTTATTTTAATAAATTGACTAATGAATTCAGTGAGGATTATGATAGTAAAATGCCACTTTCCAGACATCTTCTGTATCACACATGGTCTCCTGACAATAGAATTACAGGCTACTGACTTTTCAGACTTAAAAGTCTGATAAATGTCATGACAGGAATGTTTAAAAAGGCACTGGATGACTAATATAAATATGGGATTCATAGTCATTACCACTGGAAGGGACAGATGCTGGCAGGCCACTTCTCTGGGCATCTGTGGCTTCTCTGTGATATCTCCCAATTGTAAGAAAGTAGAACAGTCCTGAATGGATTGCTTAGTCCCCCTAGAAAACCCCTGTTCACCTTTAATGGGTTCTAACCTCTGGAGCTACATTTCCCAGAACCCCCTTGCAGCTTCCATCACAGAAGTTGATTAAATTCATTCAATGAAATGCACAGATGTGTGGCCTGAGTTTGGAACTGAATTAAGAGGGACAGAGGCAGTGGCATGTGACATCCATTTTGCTAGTGATGATCTAGCAGCATTGTGTGATTCACCACCCAATAATTTTGGTGGTTACTTCCTCATCCCTGGAGAGCAACTGAGGCAAGGAGTTGCTGCAGCCAGAAGGTGCAGTAGCAGCATGTACAACAGGAGAGGCTGCAGTAACACATGAATTTCAGTGGCTTCACATACAAAAAAGTCTGTTTCTTTCTCATGTAACAGACCTCAGGGAGGGGCTCAGCAGGGTGGATCTTCTCTACATGACCTCTCAGGGGGCCCACATCAGCACATGAAAAGCTCCCACACCTCTGTTCTCTTTCCTCAGACTGGGATTTCTATGCCAGGGGTTCACTTGGAAGTCATGTCTCCCTTTCCTTCCATTCCTGTCTCTTACCTCCTATTTTCACTCTCTCCCTTAAAGAGGCCCTACATTTTCATGATTTCAATGTCTTTTGTGCATATGATTCATTATTTTCTATTTCTCTTAAACTCCAGATATACATTTTTCACCTTTAATAATTGCATTTTGTATCTTCCTTCAAAACATCTCATTACCTTATGAAGCACTGCCCTGAGTAGAGGAGGGTAACATTTACTGGTTATACATTTTACTAGCTAGGGCATATAGCATATCAAATTTACTTCTGTACTAATCAGAGTAGTTAATGCTAACTGGTGCAATAGTAAAACCCCATTATCTCAGTGACTTAACATGAGAAAGGTTTATTTCTTACCCTTGTGAAGTTTGATCTGGGCCAAGTGACCCTCCACTCTCTTGCAGCAACTCTATTTGGAACAAACAGCATTAAAGGCTATTGCCTTGGGAGGAGAGGGATGGAGGAGCACATGTCACTTCCATTAATAGTTCATTACCCATAACTGGTCACCTGGCTCCAACAAGGGAAGCTGGGGATTGGAGGGAGCACATGAAATACTTGATGAGCACTGACTTTGTGTCATACTTATTTCTCTAAACCCACCTGTCTGTCTGGTGGGAAACTTAACCTCAGCCATTATTGGAGTTCTCCTCTTGTTCTTCCACAGGATCATTCAAGAATTCCAAGCTTCTGGTTGCCAAAAAGTGGGGTTCCTTAGTCCCTGGTTGTCATAATTTTTATCATGCTCCTCTGGTGATTCCATGTCCCCAGGATGTGACGACTTGGTCATGCTGCTCCTGGTGGGCCCTGACCCCTCACGAAAGTCCTCCCTACAGGCTGATGACTCAGCAACAGGCAACCATTCCTCCATGCAAGGCTGTGTATGCAAGTGCCCCATATCGTCTTTATTATTGCAGAAAGCTCAGTATTGCAGTCCTGTTCACAATTTCTGCTTTCCCAATATGACATTCCTCTCAATCCCTTCCCTTTATGGGATCACCAACATAACTGTTTCCTTTCAGAGAGCTGGTGGAGTTGAGAAAAGAAGACGTTAACAATTAGTATTATTCTTAGTACCTCACTCAACACCTGTATTTATTAATGGTATTATTCACGCAGTCACCTAATCTTAACTTGGTATCATCTTTGACATTTTCCTTTCTCTCCCATTGCATTCATGATGTCATACTGATTTAGCCTCCAAAACATCTTACATTGTTCTTCGCTCTTCCTCTTCTATGAGTGTCTCACCTTTATTACCTCAGACACTAATAACCATCTAACTGATTTATCTGTCTTCACTTCCTTTTCCAAGCTGTCTTGAATATTGTTTTAGTTCATAAAAGATACTATTTTCTAATCATTGAACTTATTGTAAAAATATTAAATATACCTAAAAGTAGAGAGAACACCATAATGAACTTTCATGTACCCATCACTCAGCTTAACATAAACAATTACCAAATTTTGCCTGTCTTGTTTCTTCTACAAAAATCTTTCCACATTTTTGTCCTGGAGTACTTAAAAAAGATTCCAGAAATAATATCCTTTAAACCAGTTGTAACTCTAACCAGCAAGAACTATGTGTTACATAGTATTATCTAACACTTGGTCCATGTTAAAATGTTCCCAGTTCCCTGAAAAACATCTTTTTTTCTACAGGTTGGTTGAGTAAGAACCTAAAGTTCTCATAAAGAAGACGTTTGTTTTTACAGGCTTCTTACGTATCAGTCTCCATTTTCACATTCCCAGTTTCCTTCTATGCCAATTATTTGTTGAGAAAACTAGGTAATTTTGCCCTCTAGAATTTCCTCTTTCTAAACTTTATTGATGTTGTTTAACATGTTTCTCTGTCTCTCTTGCATTTCCTGCCAGCTGGTTTATTAGATCTGGAAGCTTGATTCTGTTCATTTTCAGTTTTGGAAAAAGCTTGTGTTGCTGGGCACCTGTCAGGACACACACAATGTTTGGCTGCTTCGCTTTAAGTGATATTAATTGAATTACCAGTTAAAGTTCCCCATAAATATTTCTCATAACATTTTCAGCAACCTCTTGTGTAGATACATTATTCTAATTGAGTTGCAAATGGCTTGCTAAATCATTACCCCAAACAGATGGCACTCAAGGATTAGATTAGGCTATTCCAGTCCAAGAAAGGGAACACAAACATGAAATACTTTGTTTTTCCATGTTTTGTTTTGTTTTTACCTGTCAAGATAGAAATTTCTCTGCCAACATAATTTTTGCTGGCTTTCAACTTTTTTTTTTTTTTTTTTAAAGATTTTATTGGGAGAATTGGGGGAGGGGAATAGCGTTGGGGAATCCGGGAAGGGGAACAGAGAAGTTGCTGTCCTTTTGTTCTTCAGTCTAGTTGTGGAGGACATCGCTTCACTGGCCCATGTTGGTATTATCATTGTGCTCTTCCCGGGTGAGGCAGTCACTCACTGGCCATTGGACAGCCGCTCACAGTGGCTCATGAAAGCTCACTCCTGCCACCTACCAGCCCCACTGCAGCCTACGCTGTCACCAGCAACTCATGGCAGCCCAGCTCCAGGTCGAGCTGTTGTTCACCATCTTAGCTGTAGAGGGCGCAACCTCACTGGCCCTCATGTGGGATCTGAACCAGGGTCCTGCTGCTCAGAGCTGGTGCCCCAAGCCAACTCCTAACCAAGGCGCCACTCGGCTGGCCCGCTTTCATCTTTTTAATACCTCTGTATTTAATACCTCTGTAATGCCCCCCAAAAAACCCTTTTCTTAGTGTTTCTTATCACAAAAAAAAAAGAATGCAAATTGGATGATATCCCTATGAATCATCTTAATATAAAAGTGGTGCCTCTAGAGAGAGAGACACACAGGCCACATTATATTCAGGGAGCTTGACTCTGTCTTAATAATGAGTTGTCTGACCCTACATGTATTGGTAGGGACAAGAATAGAGGTATAAGAATGATATCCTTTTTTTTTTTTTGGACCTTTAAGTTAGAAAAGAAAGCCAACTCACTAGCAAATTGTGGAAAAAACAATTTCAGGAAATATGATTAGTTAATGTTAATCATATTAATAACATTAATTAATGTTATTAATTAATAACATATCAAATAAACATTAATTAATGTTAGTTTGAGTAGTAATTCAAATTGGGTTGAAAATACCTTATGACTACCTCTTGGATATTTGGACTTTTTATTCATTACTTTATAAAAAGGACCTATTAATTAATTAGGAAGCTTGACAAGAGAGCCTCTGCTGTTCATTGGCTCAAAATTCGTTCACTGCAGATTTCTCCTGAAACATGAGAAAAGACCCACCGAGTCATCTGCTCCTCCCTTGCTTGAGTCTGTTTCTCTGCTCACAACTTGTAGAGGACTCCATGGCCACACTAAGAGCCCCAGATGACTGACACAGCTGGAACGGAGGCTCTTGATTGCTGCATTTCCTTCTTTTACCCTTTACTAAGAGACTTGAGTACTACTTGAGAAAAAGAAATAATCTAAAATTTTATTATCTTGACTTTGACTTTGGTTTTTAAAGTCTTTGTCCTTACCCCCCTGGTTTTGGAATTGAGATAAAAGAGTGCTCCTTCTTTTAGAGTCCACTTAACTTTGCCTCTAAGACAGACTCAAAGAGGGCTAGCCAATTCCTAGAGATTTGTGCAAAGCAAGCAATACAGAGCTCCTATCCTTTGGGTTTTCACACTCTGTGCCACCATTCACCTGCCCTAATTACCCCAGGGCCAGGTACCAGACACCTAGGAATAGGCCTATGTTCTAGAGCCCACTGAAATTATTCAAACTGGCCAATCCTAAACTTGTTTACCCTGCTTTGTCTGTTTCTTCCC